GGTATTTATTTGTATATTACAATGCTATACTAAACTTGGATAAAAAGGAAAGCCACTCTGTCAAAAAAACTTGTGAAAATATAACAAATAGTAAAGTCCCCTTGAAACATTTACAGACTGTTGGCCATATGGATCTATAAATTGTGGAAAGAAGATGTATCTCAGGCATGTTCCTCACGTGTGTGTGTGTGTGTGTGTGTGTGTGTGTGTGTGTGTAAAAATCTCTGTGATTCATTTGACAATCGTTGATTATATTGCCTTTAATATTTTTCTTCTTCGGGGCTGGGGATGTGGCTCAAGTGGTAGCGAGCTCGCCTGGCATGCGTGCAACCCGGGTTCAATCCTCAGCACCACATACGAACAAAGATGTTGTGTCCGCCGAAAACAAACTAAAAAATAAATATTAAAAAATTCTCTCTCTCTCTCTCTCTCTCTCTCTCTCTCTCTAAAAAAAAAAATATTTTTCTTCTTCCCTTTATCATAAGAATTTTTAGATTTTTTGACACAATATTTTGTCATTAAGATTTGCAATAGCTTTTCAAATGTACAGTCTAGGATAGCAGTTTCTATTAAGATTTTCTTTTTATCAGGCTCTTCACCCTGTTTGCTATTGGAAGGGATACTAGAAGAATTTTGTCAAGTTATTGTCACTTGGGGTGTAGGGACAGAACTGATCATGGGGGAATAGGAAGAGTTCATTTTTTTGATCATATCTCGGAAGAGAATCTATGCTACTATCACTAACCCTTGATTAATATATTGAAAAAGATAAAATTGAGGACATTTGAAATGACTAAAAAGGATATCGGCACCAAAATATGAACTATTTTACTATAGCTATTTATTTGAAACCAGACATGAAAAAACAGAAGCAATGAATTTTTAGGTTTAATTATAGAAATTCAAATAAAGAGATGAGATGGCAAATATGAGGTTCAAGGGAGTTTTATAAAAATAGGGATTACATACAAGTCTATACTATAAGAATTAATGATTCCTTAGTATGTCACATAGGTCCTCCTGATTTTTTCTACAGTGTGGGAGTCAGGTACAGTCTGCTACATGACCCTGGTAGAACAATATGAATGTACTTCATCAGGCCTGAACCGAATACTCCCATTCTAGTTTTCAAAATCTGTACGATAAGGCAGAAACCCTTTTTCTCTAAGAAAAAAGAACCATTTTATTAGAAAAATCTTAAGTTTCTACTTTGGAAATTTATTGCCAACTACTATTGATTCTGCCATTTTTGTGTCTTTTACGTACATCTGTCTCTCTCAATGCTAATCGATCGCTACAGCCTTTGTTCAGACTTTCAGTTTTTTAATCAGGATTCCCTGCTACCCATACTCCAAATTGCTGCCAGACTGATTTTACTAATTGGATGGTGTTACTCTCCTGTTTAAAATCTTGCAATGGCAAAGTTCAAATTTCTTTACCTCTCCTTATAGATAATTATGATTTTCTTGCCAATTTCTTCAAATTTAAATGTCATTACTCCATTTTTCATCAGAACTGAATTTCCTGCCCTTTTATAATTTCTTATGATTCTGAGTCTTCTTTTATGCTATCTCTTGTGCCTAGAATGGTCCCTTCTTCACTTTGCATTCCTTGTGTGCCCTCTCCTGCCTAGCTSTCATCTGTAGGGAAGTGCCTCTGTTAATCTCCTTCTCCTGTCAATGCCCCATTACCTGTTTTATCATCTTGCATATTGATCTGTCTTTCCTATTAGAYCATCATCTACCTGATGACACACATCATAGCTTTTAAACTTTTATCTAATGTTTAGCACAATTTAGAACATGTAAACCATAAATATTTGTTGGGCAAATAAATCTCTTTAAAAAAAGATTAAAAAAATTGTATTGTGTAATAGAAAAACCTGCTGTTTTAGTCAGATTTTTTGCTGCTGAGACTAAAAGATCTGACCAGAACAATTGTAGAAGAGGAAAGGTTAATTTGAGAGCTCATGCTTTCAGTGGTCTTAGTCCATAGAGGGGCGGCTCCACTCCTCAGGAYACCAGATGAGGCTGAACATCATGACGGAAGAGTGTAGCTAAGGGAAACAGTTCACATCATGGTGATCAAGAAGCAGTGAGAGAGACTGTACTCACTAGATACCAATATATACACAAAAGCCACGCCCCAATTCCCACCTCCTCCAGCCACACCCTTCCACTTCAGTTAATCCTATTAGGGATTAACTCACTGATTAGGCTAAGGCTATAACCCAATCATTTCTCCTTCAAACCTTCTTGCATTGTCTCACATGTGAGTTTTCAGGGGACACCTCTCATCCAAACCATAACACCTCGATATCTTGTGACCTTGTAGGATAATACCACTAAAAACCTTTGAAGTCATCTTGTCTCTTTGTGAATTGAGGCACAAATAATACCACTTTTATTTATTTGCTTAGCTATTTTGATGGGTWAAAAGTGACCAAAAGATTCATCTCAGGAAATCGGAGTTTCCTTCTTCTGTCCTAGTAGAAACTGTAGCCAAATTAGGAAGATTCATGTCAAGGATAGGTTGTTCATTGAAGTTCTCTACGCTTGTAATTGGTGCACATTTTTGATGTGTCAGGCTCTGGACATAATGCTGGATGTTAAAAGTAAAGTAAAGAAGATACAGGCTCTCAGTGTCAAAGAAATAATAGTCTTTTGAGCAAGTTCATCCTTAGAGTTTTTGAGTTATTATGTGAATTAAATAAGATGTCATATTAGTCTTTGAGTTCTGAAGTTAGTCCTAGGTAAACACTAGATAGTCTCTGTACTATTATTAACAGGAATAGTATCCAACTATGACTATGGCTTGATGTATTTAAATGAAATCAGTCAGCAAAATGGATTATTTATTTCTCCTCTGGTGATAAAGGTATTTTATTATGAGCTGGAGTTTGTGGGAAACACTACTTAATGGATTGTTAGCTAATAGATAATTTGAAATATTTTAAATGGTTTTGTAATTTTAATTAGATAGAGATTTTTTCTAAATTTCTCAATGTTTTCCTTTCTGTGGCTTCAGATAGTATCTCCTTTCTCTTTTGAGGTAGTTGACAATAGTAATTTAAGATACTCAAGAAATTCTCTAGGAGTAAAATATGTTTGATTTTTGCACACTTACAAAAAATTCAAAGAATCTGTATTATGGATCCATCTTACAAAGTGAGACTAAATTCATGGTATATATCTTCAACCTCTATTCATTTTTAGTTTATAAGTAGTAATTTTTATTAGGAAATAGCATTCTTGTGTTTCTTTCCATATAGCTGATATAGCATCCAGCAGAAATTTACTGTGCTTCATCAGTGAGACTAGAGTAGAAATAATCACATTCAGAAACAGGCAGCACTGGCAATTACTCTTTTTTGTTTTACAGAGATGAGCGAAATCAGTCCATCATTGTAAGTGGAGAGTCTGGGGCAGGAAAAACAGTCTCAGCTAAGTATGCCATGCGATACTTTGCAACTGTAAGTGGTTCTGCCAGTGAGGCCAACGTTGAAGAGAAGGTCTTAGCCTCCAACCCCATCATGGAGGTAAGACAGCAGTATCCTGGGCCTTCTAAATATATTCTTAGGAAACATACTGAAAAATCTAATTGATATGCCTCCCAGCCGCTAAAATTAGAAAAATACCTTTCTAYATGTTAGTAATACATCCAAGAAAAGTGAAAATTATGTAAGGTGATTGAGTAAAGCCCAGCCATCAAAAAATCTGCTTTAATTCAAAATCTTATATTTTTAACCTACCAATAGAATTTTTGCCTGTGATAACAGGTAGCAGTACTTTGTTTTCTAAAGTTTCTTTCTCTTAGTTAATTGATCGAACCTATTGTTCTTTGTACCAGAAGTGCAAGTTACTTATCCCCTGCCTCCTGAGTTATTTATGCTCTTTCCAAAACATAGGGTCTACTATGTTCAAGCATGAATGAACTTCATTATTTCTTTGCTCAGAGTTTATTTTCTGTGCTTCATCTGACCTATTTGGCTTTAAATTTAAAGTTTTCCCCTAATTTGAATTACAAACTTAAACCATGACCTCATAAACTTTCTCCTTCTCCTTCTCCTTCTCCTTCTTCTTGTTAATCACATAACACAGATATAGGTTAGTAAAAGAAATTCAGTGATTATAAGTTCTTGGTAGTGAAAAACAGTAAAAGGACAATGTGCTTTCAAAAGTCAAATATGTATACAAGACAGAAATGACTATGCCAAAGAAAATAAAGTATTTTATTTGAATGTAATTTTAAGAAAGTTATAGTTTTGTAAGAAAATGAGGAAAAATAAGTTTTGTTAAATGGACAGAAATTAGTTTGGACATACAGAAACAAACCTTGCTATTTAAAAATTCAAATGGGTATTTTTTTATTCCTATTTTTTTCCTTTGTCAATCCTTATTTATCACCTAAACACAGATGGAGTTAAAACTGGCGTGGTGCACCTGTGGTACAAGTGGTTTTTGCAATAATCTGTCCAGAGGTAAATTGTGCCTGGTTTGCAGTGCTGTGTGTGTCACTTGAAAACACAATGCTGTGAACTTCATCTATACAGGATTGCTCTCCAAGATATGTTGGGAAAGTTGAGAGGCCTCCAAGGCTGATATGCTATGGAAATAAAACTGGAAAAGTTTTCTGAAATAAATTGGATAGGAAGAAGCAGATGTTTGTGCTAAAAGAGAGTACTCAGCTCGGCACAATGGCACACACCTATAATATTAGCTACTTGGGAGGCCGAGGCAAGAGGATTGCAAGTTTGAAACTAGCCTCAACAATTCAGCAAGACTCTATCTGAAAATCTGAAATATAAAATATATTTTATCTGAAAATAAAATATAAAAAGGGATAAGGATGTAGCTCAGTGGTGAAGCACCCCTAGTTCCAATTCTTGGTACCAACAAACAATTTCACAAAAAGAAAATAGTGAAGATTTTAAGCAAATTAAAGTTTTCAAAGTATTTAGCTCTGTATGTAGTGGTGGGTATTACTGACGTTATTATTAGGTAAATAGTTTATTGAGCCAGCTTTTTTTTTTTTTATCAGAAAGCAACAATGCTTTGTTTTATCATGACAACATACTCCTAGTATTTGGCAATAGTTCAGGCCATTCTAGTCCCTAATGTTAGAATATCCTGAAGTCTTTATTGTGATAGCTTTAGGAAATTCTATGTCTTCTAGGTTAGACCACATAAAAGTATGATTTGGATTTGTCTTGGAGAAACTTAATCCAGAATGAGCCTTTTAGAATGTGTCAAAAGATGACCTCTTTCAAAAAACAGCCATATTAATGTTTCTATAGTTCAAGTTTGAGTTGTATGAATAGAAATGATATTAAAATTTTGGAATGGACACAGGGACTAACTTTTAATAAGCAGTTATAAGGAATTTGTCCTGTTTACTGGGATGAAAAAAAATAAAGTCATCCAATAATCGATCCCTTCTTTCTGTACTGTCATTTAATCTGTAGGAATTTGGGCTAAGAGAAATTTGGTAAAGGGAGAACTAATTTTCAACAATTATAAAGAGGGCATCTCAGTTTGTGAGGCTCTAAGCAAAACAAACATACAAAAAAAGACTTGGAGCTTAAGATTGACAACAAAGGGTCTATAGTCACTAGAAAAAAAAAGCATGTAAAACATTGAATATGAAGCCTAGAAAGTTTATARGTTTAAGATTGACAACAAAGGGTCTATAGTCACTAGAAAAAAAAGCATGTAAAATATTGAATATGTAGCCTAGAAAGTTTATAGGTTTAAATGTGCTGTAAGACTATGTCTCTATATTAGAGCCCATTACTGTGATATCAAGAAAGGAATGTCCAGGTATCCAGTGATCTGCAAAAACTCCTTGGTGGGATAATGGACATCCTGTACATAGTTAACAACATGACCCAGTGGCTAAAGGGATTTGTTCATTATCCTTTAGAAAGCAAACACCTTGTCCTAAAAATAGTCTCCTTCGGCAAAATGTAAATGATGTAGCAAAATTATTCTTTTTGCTCTGTTTTATAACATGTTTTTTCTCTTGGAAGTCTTTTTTTGTATGTTTGTTTTGCATGTTACTTGGGATTGAACCCATGGGTGCTTTATTTACCACTAAGCCACGTCTCYAGCCCTTTTTATTTTTTATTTTGAGATGAGGCCTTACTAAATTGCTTGGAGCCTCACTAAGTTGCCTAGGATGGCATTCAACTTACAACCTTCTTACCTCCCAAGTCACTGTGATTATACGCCTGTGCCACTGTATTGGGCTCAGGTTTTGTGTGCGTGTGTGTATATGTGTGTGTGATATTAAGAAGGGTAATAACATCTGAGTACATGTCTATAATGAATTATATCAGACTMTGTCAGCTCACACTGTAATTTTGCTGAAATGGTAGCTTCCAGTCATTCTCTTTTTTTTTCTCTAGAAAAGCATTTAAAATATTTATCTAAGTTGTAGCAGTATCCTCATTGCCAAAACAAAATATGATGATATCTGCCCTCTTCCAGAAATTGAAAATACATTTTCTTTGACTGATCAGAGTATCTAGCATGATTTTAGAATGACTTTTTTTTAGCAGTATTGCTACTGTTTGTTTCACTCTTTTAATGCTCTACACTCTTTTCACATCTTTCTCTTTGCTATGGTTTTGATATACTAATCTTTTTTTTTTTTTTTAGAAAGAGAGAGAGAGAGAGAGAGAGAGAGAGTTCTTTAATATTTGTTTTCTAGTTTTCGGCGGACACAACATCTTTGTATGTGGTGCTGAGGATCAAACCCAGGCCGCACGCATGCCAGGCGAGCGAGCTACCACTTGAGCCACATCCCCAGCCCCTGATATACTAATCTTAACAGAGGCTTTGCACAAGTGAAATCTATTGCTCTTATATGAAAAAAGTTGATTAAACATTTTACATATATGCATTATATGAATATTTGCTTTTTAAACTATACTAAGTTTTTTTTTGCTTTACCTTAGAAAAATTTGTAGAAGCATATCACTTAAATCAGTAAGAAGACATGCATTTTAATTTTTAAGGTTACATAAAAATGTAGCAGAAAGTTATATTGTCCACATTATACAGCAGATGCTTTGCAATTTAGATATTACCATCAAAAATCTAAGCCAAATTTTACTTTCTCAGGTTTCTGAAAGAGGCATTTAAATTGAATAGGTAATACTTATCCTCTGATAATAAGAAGTCCAACTGGACCTTTGTTGCTGTAGGATGGATGAGATGAGAGAAACTTCTAGTTTCTAAAGAAACCCTGATAAGAGCAACATTTCCAGGAAAATATTAATTTGGCTTAACCATCTCATTTATACTAAACTAAATTTTTCAAGAAATCAAAATCTTGATGCTTAACTCATAAGGCTTGTATTTTGGCAACTCCCAACCCTACCCTGTTCTTTCTTCACTGGAATGAATGTATGAATGTATGGAATATGAAAATCTCCAATTGCTGGGATCAGKTTTACTGTTCTGAAATTCATTTTTGTGAGAATAACAAGACAAATAAGAATGATTAGTATGTATTTGTATTGTTGTGCAGTGGGCAAAGCATTCATCTGTACCTGCAGGGGCAAAGTTGGTTCTGTACTTAAAAGAATCACTTTTAAATATTTATGTTCAGTTTTCTTTTTTCTATCCCTGAATAGACATTGTAATTGTCATGTCATGAATTGCACTTCTAAAATCTTAATTTTTTCCCTTGCTTCTTAGTCTATTGGAAATGCTAAAACAACCAGGAATGATAATAGCAGTCGCTTTGGGAAGTATATAGAGATTGGTTTTGATAAGAGATATAGAATCATTGGTGCCAATATGAGAACATACCTTTTAGAGAAATCCAGAGTGGTGTTCCAGGTAAGCTGGGCATGTACATATGTATGTATACTTATGTTAGATTGCCACATAATTKCAGAGCTCATGCTTGCTGGAGTGGTATAAATTTTGTTTCTAGACACTCTCAAGAACACATTGTGACAGTATTACTGCAAACTATGCTTGGACTAAAGCATGTAAAATGGTGCCTGCAGGGGCAGAATACCCCATAGACTTACAGTCTTTGAGCGCTGATGTAGATTTAATAGTTTTGACTTTTTCTACAGATGTTTGTTGAAAAGTCTGCTTACAAAGAGGCACTATTAGTTTAGTCTTGTCTCTCTTCTTTCCCAATTGATGAGGAACAGATTGACTTATGTCTACAAGAAGTTACAGCTTGAATTCAGCTAAGAACAAAGTTATCTTTGTCCTTTTACTATATTTTTTCTTAGAATATGATATTGTTTAGATAGAAAAGTGAGGGATTAAAAAATCTTTATATCTCAGTTGTGAACTATTATCAAAAATAAAGTTGATCAATTTGTGCAGAGTTTGTATTCACATGTATGCCCTTAATCCTTTTGGTCTGAAAGGGTAAAATACTATACATTTGCAATACTAGCAGATGTATATTTACAGGCATACTAAAGGAATGTATATTTATCATTAGCAAGCTCCTGGTGACCTACTATATCCCTATGTTATCAGATCTGTAGTTTCAGTATCCCCTTTAATTGGACGCCCGCTGCATAGAGAGTCAAATACTGCTGGCACTGCCAGGTATCAGGATCCACAATTTCCATTTTCCTAGCCTGTTATGGCTTAGAAAGTTATCTGGGACATACCAAAAGTCACACATTGGGGAAGCCTGCATCTACAATGGCTTTGACTTTAGGGTTGTGCTTCATTGATGACAAACTAAAATATAATACTCAATTTATATAATAAGGCACCCTTTACCATTGTTCTAATATCCAAATGCACACAGTGATTTTCTTGAATACGTAAATACTTCTACAGATTTTTGGGAAAACTGTCTAGTTTAGTAGCCTGAAGAACGAATGAATTTGAATGAGACATAGGTAGATCTAAGAAAAGATTGAATCCAAATAGTAAAGATTTGATTGATATATCCTTAAAGGTGGATAGGAAAAAAACATCCTTGGTCAGTATGTTGGCCAAAGGCTAGCAAGGCTTAGTACAAAAGTATAAGGCCTAATCTGTATTGCCTTGTCTGGAGACAGTGTAGTCATTCTAGCTGTTCTCTAGTCTCTGGGGGTAGAATATTGAGAAGGATCTATGAAAATGAATCTCATAGTCAGAAAAACCAAATTTGATATTGTCTCTCATTTACAAAGATGATCAGAGCATTTCTGCAGACCCACCTGCTTTCCTAGTTTTTGTACACTGAACAACCTGATCTCTTGCCTAATTATACTTATAATCATAGGTATGTTGGTATTTTGTTCATTGTCTTCTGTCCCTGTAATAATAGACTTTCTATTAAACCAGATATCAGTTTACTTTGGGCATCAAACCTAGCCTTGACCTTATTAGTACTAATCTTTTTCTAACAGAATGCATTGCAGAATTCAAGGATATGATAATGTAATATTAAGATTATATTAGTATTCAATTTTGTATGTATAGTATTATTGCAACTATATTTCTAGGTATGTATGTAAAAAAACTCTCAGAAAATATTAAAAATTGACCTTAGAATTATAAATGATTTATTTTCTATTTTGTAAAATAGTTATCAGTTTTAAAATATACAAATAAAAATGTTATGGAGGATAATATAGCATGTTTATGGATTTCTTAGAAGCAAAACTGCAGAAGATGGTCCTCTCTAAAATATGGCAAAGATGGGATTATTATTTTTCAAAGAGTTGGGAAGATCACAAATATTTAGAAAAAGTATTGAGTACTGAAAAAACAGAAGATTTAGCTTCCCTCAAAAGCACTGATCTCTTATGACTATAGCCATTTATCAAGCTGTTGGCTAGTTCAAAAGGCATTACTCTTGGATATTTTCGATTGAGTGTGAATAATACATCTACATATACATATACACATATAGATTCCATCTATTTTATTTATTTACTTTTATTTTTTTAAGAGACTATCTTACTATGTTTCTGAGGCTGACCCCAAACTCCTGATATCAAGCAATCCTGTGCCTCAGCTCCCCAGTAGCTGGGACTACAGGTGTGTACCACTGTGACCAGCTTACATATAACTAAAAACCATAAGGTTTAACAATGATAAATACGTATTAGGAAATTTGGTAAGGACAATTTATTTCACTGAGAAAATTAAATATTAAAATTGTATTTTATGAGAATTTTCTGAGTTTTAGATCAAATGTTATAATTGAAAACTCTTCTTATTTCAAAGGCAGAAGAGGAGAGAAACTATCATATCTTCTATCAGCTTTGTGCCTCAGCACAATTACCTGAATTTAAAATGCTGCGATTAGGTATGAATATGGCTCTAGACTTATTATATTGGTATTATTTTCGTTTAATACCTGAGTTTCCAAACTAACTTGTTAAAAGAAGTTTATCTCATACTGAAATTTTTATGGATAAAAATGATTTTTAGAAGTCTGCAGTTGGCTTCAGAATGACCCATGGGGTGCGGAAGAAGTAAGTAGTTGTATAAATAGAACAGGATTGGCCTTGGTGTGATGCTTATTAAGATGAATGATGAGTATGTAGGGGTTTATTATAATAGTCTCTCTACTTTTATGTACGTTTGAAATTTATCTTGAATGAAAGAAAAAAAATTTACTAGTTGGAGGCCTATAGGGTTTCTGATAAGGGAAGTAAAGTGTTTGAGGAAATTGTCATAGCATGTAGTTTGGAATTAAACCTTTGGGAAACTACTATACATTTCAACAATTAAGATAAATAAGTCATAAACATAGTTTTGAGTTTTAAATTAAAATATGATTGAAAACAGAAAGGAATATATATACACACACGTATATAATCTCCAGACCTGGACACTTAAATGTTCTACTCTGCCTTCAATTCAGAGTGATCATAAGGGTAGAAGTCAAAGCTCTTTCTCAGACTGCAAAATTATTTTCCTTCATTGCAGGAAATGCAAATAGCTTTCATTACACGAAACAGGGAGGTAGCCCAGTGATTGAAGGAGTGGATGATGCAAAGGAGATGGCACACACCAGGCAGGCCTGCACTCTACTAGGTAATGTAATTTTATTTTTCAGCTCTTACAAGCAATAGTGTTTTGTTTTTTCTTTTTGTTGGTGGTATTGTGTGTTTGTGTGTGCACGCACATGATGAGGATTAAACCTAGGGGGGGAGCTTTACTATTGAGCTACATCCCCAGACCTTTTTACTTCTTATTTTGAGACAGGGTCTCACTCACTAAGTTGCTGAGGCTGGCCTTGAATTTATAATCCTCCTGCCTCAGCTTCCTGAGTTGCTGGGATTATAGGTATGTACCACTATATCTGAGAAGCAATAGCTTTTTTTTTTTCCCTTTTTTTAATCTTTTTTGGTATCAGGGATTGAACCCAGGAGTGTTCAATCACTGAGCCTCATTTCAGTCTATTTTTAATTTTTTATTTTGAGGCAGGGTTTTGCTAAGTTACTTAGGGCCCCACTAAATTGCTGAGGCTGGCTTTGAACTTGTGATCCTCCTTTCTCAGCCTCCGAGCACTGGGATTACAGGCATGTGCCACCTGCCCAGTGAGCAATTGCTTTTTGCTTAAAGCAGCTTTGTTTGAAATACTGTTTTGGTTTTGTATTAAGTAGTGAGCACTGCTGGTAGACTTAATATAGTTTATAGAACACATTCAGACAACAATTAAGCACAAGGGTTTTAGGGTGATGGAACTATTCTAAAATTAAATTTTGGTAATGGTTGCACAAATTTGTAAATTTACTGAAAATCACTGCTTTGCACACTTACAGCAGCACATGTYTTGTAGTTTGAAAATTATCCCTCCATAAAGTTGTTTTTAAAAACATATTTGAGGGGCTGGAGATGTGGCTCAGCGGTAGCGCGCTYGCCTGGCATGCGTGCAGCCCRGGTTCGATCCTCAGCACCACATACCAACAAAGATGTTGTGTCCACCGAGAACTAAAAAATAAATGTTAAAAATTCTCTCTCTCTCTCTCTCTTTCTCTCTCCTCTCTCACTCTCTCTTTAAAAAAAAAAAAAAAAAAAAAAATATTTGAGACATCAGGTAAGGTAAGACTAACTAATTTTCTGTGAAAATTTTTACAAAAATCTAGAACCTATAGCTAATAAGATGGGTTTCTCTACAAGCTTGAATTTTCCACGGATTTTCATTATGTTCTTGTTTTTTTGTTTGGGGGGTATTTTGAGTCTTGGAAAATGACTATATTGGCATGATAACAGAACATTATATTAAATGTGATTTGGTCCAGTGTTTTTGAAACTGCTCATATGTTAACAAATGTTGTGAATAAATTAATTTTTAGACCCATAGTCTATACCTTTTAGAGGTGAATTATTTTTCTTTTAAAAAGAAACATTTCAGGGCCTGGAGTTGTGGCTCAGGTGCTTACCTGGCATGTGTGAGGCACTGGGTTTGATTCTCGGCATCACATCTAAATAAATAAATTAAATAAAGGTCCGTCAACAACTAAAAAAAAAAAAAAATTTTTTAAAGCAGAAACTGGGCATGGTAGTGCATGCCTGTAATCCCAGTAGCAGAGCTAAGGCAGGAAGATCATGAGTTCAAAGCCAGCCTCAACCCTAAGCAACTTAATGAGACCCTATCTTTAAATAAAATTTTTAAAAGGTCTGGGGGCCCAAGCATGGTGGTGTATGCCTGTAATCCCAGTGGCTCAGGAGAATAAGACAGGAGGATCACAAGTTCAAAGCCAGCCTCAACAATGATGAGGCGCTAAGCAACTCAGTGAGACATTGTCTCTAAATAGGGCTGGGGATGTAACTCAGTGGTTGAGTGCCCCTGAGTTCAACCCCTGGTACAAAAAAAAGGCTGGGGGTATTGCTCAGTGGTTAAGTACCCCTGGGTTCAATCTCTAGTACCAAAAYAAACAATCAAACAAACCAAAAAACTGCAGAATATAAGTAACTTAAACATTGAGAAGTACCTTTGAATGAGTTAATTTAAAAGCATTTCTAATCACAGTATGGTCTAGGACTACTATAGAGCTTGCTGGAAGTATGAAATTTCATTCCTTTTCTTAAACTTGTGAATCATAATCTACTTTTTAACAGATCTATTAGTGATTCATATGCATATTAAAGTTTGAAAAATASTGCTTTACTTCTAGGGCCAAATTATGAATTTGAAAAAGCCATAATGTTGGACATAACATAAACATTCATTATAAGGTCAATTCTCAATTATTGTGTATGATTACATATTTGGAAATAATTTTACTATAACTTAATTATGTTTAATATTCTGAAAATTTTTTACTTACAGAAAAACAGCCAAATCTGATAAAAGCCAAAAGCTGTCTAGTTTTTTCATTCTGTTTTATACTTCAGCTCCTTCTCCAATGCTGTATTTGGACATTAACTCTTCAGACCAGGGAATAACACCTGTCTGAACATCTCTGATCTTGGGGTCTCTTTGATTTATACTTGGCCTTTAGTTAAAAGAAGTAATTAAATTATTAATTTAAAACAGCCTTATTATTGTGCTACAACTTGCACTTGAAATAAAGATTAATAGAAATGGCAATAATATTAATAAAATACTTATATCCAATATGTGACAATGATATGATCATTTGTGTAGTAYTTACCACATGTCACATTGGGTATGCTGTGTGTGTAACCTCATTCAATGTTAACACCCTTTGAAGAATTCACTTTTATTCCTATATCTCAAATGAGAAAATGAAAGCATAGAAAGGTGAAGTTATCTGCCCATATGTATATCCACATTATCACCCATAATGCTAACTGTTTTAATGTCAATGAAGATGAATGATTGTTAGCTGTGACTCACTATAATGTGTATAACATCTGTCAATATTCAAGAATTAATAATAGATTTAAAATTATCTGCTATAATGTTTTGTTGCTATTCTGAAATTAATCACTTACTCATTTACTCTATTTAAGGAATTAGTGAATCTTATCAAATGGGAATTTTTCGAATACTTGCTGGCATCCTTCACTTAGGCAATGTTGCATTTACTTCTCGAGATTCAGACAGCTGCACAATACCTGTAAGTACAGAATGAAATTGGTGTGGTAGAAGTTTAATTGTGTTTTAGTTTTGTTGATTTTTTTTGTAGAAGCAATATAATTTAAGTCTCTCTCACATTATCAGAGAGATAATTATCAAAAAGATGTATTATCAAAAATATAAAGCTTGAACTGAGAATAAAGAAAATGGGTTTCAATTCTTGCTGCAGTGATTATGTGATTATTAATATCTTTATTTATTTATTTATTTATGTGTGTGTGTGTTTAAGAGAGAGAGAGAATAAATGGTCTTGGATACGTGTCTGATTTCTATAACCGAGGGAGAAATACTACATGTAGTTTCATTTGGCCTATTTAACTTTGTGTCTTTAGCTTTGGAGATGTAATATGGTTTAAAAATTATTGAACAGTGCTAAAGAAAGAAACTTGGCCTGGATAGGGTGTGGGGTGGGAAAGAAACTGACTTATCCCTTTTAGTCTTTTTTTTTTTTTTTTTTGGTGGCAGGGATGAACTTAGGGGCCATCAACCACTGAGCCACATCCCCAGCCCTATTTTGTATTATATTTAGAGACAGGGTCTCACTGAGTTGCTTAAAGCCTCGTTGTTGCCGAGGCTGCCTTTGAATTTGTGATCCTCCTGCCTCAGCCTCCCAAGCCGCTGGGATTACAGGCACGTGCCACCGCACCTGGCTTCCTTTTTAATCGTATAGAATGTGGTATATGTACATCTTCTGAAATGTATAAATTCTCAGGCTTTGGGCATGGCTCAGTGGGAGAGCTCATGCTTAGTATGTGCAAGGCCCAGGTTTCAATTCCCAGGAGTTAAAAAAAAAAATGTATGAATTCTAACTTCTCCCCATATCTATCTGTGTGTCTCTCTCTGTCTCTCAATGTMGATATCTAGGATAGATAACAATGATACACAGATGAAATTAGTTACTATAATATAAATGACCCCATAAGATCATAAACTTGGGTGAATTTAGAGCTATAAGGGAATATATCATGCCCTTGCTTAAATCCTTCAGTATTTCCCATTGTCTTCAGGAATAAGGTAGACACTCTACAGTAGTTCTCCATTATCTATAGTTTTGTTTTTAGTGGTTTCAGTTACTTGTGGTCAACTTTGACCTGAATATTAAATGTAAAATTCCAGACATAAACAATCATATAGTTTAAATTGTGCACCATTCTGAGTAGTATGATGAAATTTCATGCTGTTCTGCTTCATTCCACCTGGGACATGAATCCTCTCCTTGTCCAGTATATCCATGCTGTATATGCTGCCACCCATTAGTCACTTAGTAGTCATCTCAGTTATCACGGTGATGTTGAAGTTTCATGGTGCTTATGGCCAGTAACCCTTACATAGGAGCCTAATGATAAGTCACAATGCCTATGTCATTCTTCTCACTTCATCTCACATAGGCATTTTATCATCTCTCATCATCATTGTAAGAAGGGTGAGTACAATATGATCTGATCTTTTGAGAGGGAAAGAGACAGTATACTCACATAACTTTTATTATACAATAGTGTTGTAATGGTTCTATTTACAATTGTTCTATTATTAGTTGTTGTTAATTTCTTATTGTGCCTAATTTATAAATTAAACTTTATCATATATTTGTATATTTAAGGAAGAAGTATATATGGTGTTTATTTTCCATTAGGAGTCTGCAGATAAGGAGATGTGCTGTACTTGGCATAACATTGAAAGCCCTTTTATGATCGACCTTTGACTTCCTATTCAGTTTACCTCTCATCACTTATCACACTCCAGCCCAGAAATTTACTAACTCAGCTACCTCTCTCTCCTGCCTTTGCTCAGATTCTCTCTGGGGTGTAGGATAACTGTTCTTTCTGGGCAGCTCCAACTGCTAACATACAGCTCTGGCAGCATCTCTTAGCATCACCCTTCTTTCCACTGCTTTCCTTTATCTCAGCWCAGGTCTCAGTGTTTTATAAAGGTCTCTCTTGCTTGTGTTTAGCCCCTAGGAGTTGAGGTCCTTGTAAATGGGACCGTACTCTTTCTTGCTTGCCTTTTTTCTTTGGATCAATAGCTCCTCATGTAAAAACAGATTCCCTATTCCTATAAGAAAGAATCTATTCCCTGCCTTTTGTAAATGTAGTAGTTTTGTACTACAATTAGATATATGAAACATAAAATCAATACTTTATGATTTGAAGAGAAACACTATACTATAAATGATTTATTAGTCATAGGGCCATGAGTTAAATGGTAGTGAGCTTTGTTTATGAGAAATTTGATCTACACAATTTCCTTTATGTATAATTTATAATTTCCCTAAGCCATGGATCCTAATTGAGGTGCATGGTACCACTTCTCCCTGCCCCCTACATACACACAGGCTCTTCTCCTACTGACGGGTCTTTTTTATTTTTATTTTTATTATTTTGGGATACTGCAGATTGAACCCAGGAAGATTCTATCATTGGGCTCTATCCTCTGCCCCTTTTATTTTTTATTTTGAGACAGGTCTTGCTAAGTTGCTAAGACTGACCATGAACTTGCCAYCCTCCTACCTGAGCCTTCTGAGTCACTGGTATTATGGGTGTGTGCCACCATGCCCAGCCTTTATGGCAGCTTTTTTAAATTTATTTTTTTAGTTTTAGTTGGATGCAATACCTTTATTTTATTTATTTTTATGTGGTGTTGAGGATTGAACCCAGGCCCTCGCATATGTTAGGCGAGTGCTCTACCGCTGAGCCACAACCCCAGCCCCTTTATGGCAGTTTTTGAAAAGACAAAATGAAGATTCTAATTTAATCTCTGATTTCTAAGGAAATATCATTAAACTTTTTTTTTTTTTTTAGAGAGAGTTAGAAAGAATTTTAATATTTACTTTTTAGTTTTCGGCAGACACAACATCTTTGTTTGTATGTGGTGCTGAGGATCGAACCCCGGCCGCATGCATGCCAGGCGAGCGCGCTACCGCTTGAGCCACATCCCCAGCCCCCATTAAACTTTTTTCAAAGGCAGTTTTGTTGTAGTATAATGTGAATTATACCCATTTAAATAGCTTTAAATGTATAATTAAATTTTTTTATTGTATTTATGGATGTTTTTAGCCATCACCATAGTCAATTTAAATATTTTCATTATTTCAAAAAGAAAATCTATACCGTTTACCTGATGCTTCTCTGTTCCTCTATTTTTCTAGCCCTACGTAACCATTGAATCTACTTTCTGCCTGTATAGACTTGCTTATTCTAGTCATATTAGAAACTGAATCATATAATGTGTATTCTTTCAAAGTCCATCCATGTTATGGCATGTATCAGTATGTCATTTCTTATGGCTCAAAAATTCTGTGTGTGTGTGTGTGTGTGTGTGTGTGTGTGTGTGTTAATTCTAAGCTGCTTATTATTTAAGGGAGTTGAGTGAGGTGCTGACTTGTATCTAAAGTGTTACTTGGGAGGAAGGTATTGAAAAGAGGAAGACCACTTAAATGAGAATGACCCAGGGAAGAGGGTGTCAGAAGACCCAGGTTTTTAGTGCCAGCTATGACATAAATTAGTCATGTGATTATTGACAAACTGTTTGTTCTCTTGGACCTCATTTCCTCATTTTCCTTTCCACATTTTTTATTGGTGCATTATAGTTGTACATATGATGGGATTTGTTGTTGTTACATATTTGTACATGCTTTCAATATAACAATATAATTTGGCCAATATCAATCCCCAGCACTTCCCCTCTCCTTTCCCCTTTCCCCTGTCCTTTACTGACCTCCCTTTGATTTTCATGAGATCCCCCACCCCCACCCATTCTTTTCCTTTTTCCTCTGTAGCTTCCACAAATGAGAGAAAATATACAACCATTGACCTTCTAAGTAAGTTTGGATTATTTCACTTAACATAATGGAGAGAAAATATACAACCATTGACCTTCTAAGTTTGGATTATTTCACTTAACGTAATGGTCTCAAGTTCCATCCATTTTCCTGCAAATGACATAATTTCATTTTTCTTTATGGCTGAATAAAACTCCATTGTGTATATATACCACGTTTTCTTTATTCATTCATCTTTTGAACATCTAGGCTAGTTCCATAGTTTGGCCATTGTGAATTGTGCTGCTATAAACATGGTTATGCATGTACTACATCATGAAGTATAATTTGAGTTAGGTATTTTGATGCCTCCAGTGTTGCTTTTCTGGCCTAGAATTGATTTAGCTATTCTGGATCATTTATTCTTCCAAAGGAATTTTAGGACTCTTTTTTTCTAGTTCTGTGAAAAATGTCACTGGTATTTTTATGGAGATTGCATTGAATCTGTATTTTGTTTTTAGTAGTATGGCCATTTTAACAGTGTTAATTCTGTCTATTCGTGAGCATGGGAGGTCTTTCCTCCTTCTTTAATTTCTTTCTACAGATTTCATTATTGAGGTCTTTCACCTCCTTGGTTAGATTTATTCCTAAGTTGTTGTTGTTGTGTTGAGGCTATTGTGAATGGGRTTGTTTTCCTTTTTTCTTCCTTGGCTTATTCATTGTTGATATATAAGAAAGCTATTGATTTTTATATGTTGATTTTTGTAACCTGCTATTTTGCCAGATTTGTTTATTAGCTTTAGTAGTCTTCTGCTGGAGGTTTTTTTTTKGGGGGGATCCTCTAGGTGTAAGATCATATCATTTGCCAACAATGGTAATTTGACTTCTTTCTTTCCTATTTTTATTCCTTTTACTTTCTTCTCTTGCCTAATTGCTCTGGCTGAAATTTCTAGCATTATATTAAATAGGACTCGTAAGAATGCACTTCCTTGTCTTGTTCCAGATTTTAAAATAAATGCTTTCAGTGGTTGCTGAGAGCCATAGCCGAGTAGGAATGAAGCATGGCATTTTTGGTTGAAAGGTGAYGCCAGCAAGCCTTTGAGATGATAATGATTATGTTAAGATGTGCATTCAATTGGATATTAGACCGACCCCCSCCCCTTGGCCTGCTACTTTGGAGCTCTCCCCGGACTCCCGGAGAGTTCCCATTGGTTGGGGAAGTGCGGTAGGAGGGATTTCCGGAGGAGGGATTTCTGGTTGGTGTGGTGTGTCCTGGGAGAAGGCAGCGTGCGTGGTTTGCGGGAGTTTTGGAAATAAAGTTTGTTCCTGCTTAAGTGGGTCGTGATTTTGTGCCCAGCCAGACTGCRGCAAGTGGTTCCTCAATTACTATGAGATTGGCTTTGGGTTTTTTTGTATATAGCCCTTACGATACTGAGGCAGTTCCTTCCATCCCTAGTTTCTTCAGTGTTTTTATCATGAATGGGTGCTGAATTTTGTCAAAGGCCTTCTCTGCATCTATTGAGATGACTAGGTAGTTTTTGTCCTTAGTTCTGTTTATGTGATAAATTATATTTGTTGATTTCTGTATGTTAAACCATCCTTACATCTCTGGGATAAAGCCAACTTGATCATGATTCTTGTTTTTCATTTAGAGACAACAGTGTTCACCCTGCCTATCCCCCAGGAATGTTATCAGATTCAATTGATATGTGGGTAAAATGTTGAAAAATATAAGGCACTAACATGATTAAATTAAGCAAATATTTATCAAAAAACCTACTCATTCAAAACTACAGAAGAATACGTAAATTGTTAAAGTGATTCTCATCTAAAACGTTGTCTRCCTAAAATCCTTCAACAGCTTCCCATTTCTCTGGGAATTCAGACTATCCATGGCATAGCCTCTGCCTTTCTCTACCCATCTTACACACTCTCACCCACCTTCAATTTTCATATTAGTTGTTTCCCTCCTACACAGAACCTTTTTCTTTTTTTTTAGCCGTTTCTTCTGCTTAAAAAATTCTTCCTTCACTCTTTAACCCAGAAGCACCTTCCAAATTCCTTCAAATCTCAATTCCATTTTTCAAGGCAACTGTCTCTTGTCTCCCTAAATACAGCACACTCCTCTTGTGTGGACTCAGTGTAGTGTCCTTTTTCTTTGTAGTATTTAGGGAGCAATCATTTGTTTCCCCCAGTGACTATAAGTTCTAGGAGGAAATGAACCATGTCTATTTTTGTTTAATGGAGTACAATGGCCATTTAGTAAATATTTATTGACTAGATGACTGATTTTCTGATTGACTAAATAAATGTAGTGTGCCCTAAGACAAATACAGAGAGCTCTATAAAAAATCAAAGAAGAGGTAATTTTTTCAATGAGCCCTAACAGATATTATGTCACCCAGATGCCAGTTTGAATAATGATTGTGATTATTATCACAGATCAGGTGTGAGTGATCTTGATGTTTATTATATCAAAGACATTGCTGAGTTTTACTTGATATTTCTTTGTTAACATTTTTCAGGAAATTCTTATTTGATTGGTCTGGTCATAGGAAGTAACCCGTTCTCTTTTGGCAGCCCAAGCATGAACCTCTCAGCATCTTCTGTGATCTCATGGGTGTGGATTATGAGGAGATGTGTCATTGGCTTTGCCATCGGAAGCTGGCTACTGCCACAGAGACATACATCAAGCCCATCTCCAAGCTGCAGGCCACAAATGCCCGTGATGCTTTAGCCAAGCACATCTATGCCAAGCTCTTTAACTGGATTGTAGATCATGTCAATCAGGCTCTGCATTCTGCTGTTAAGCAACACTCTTTTATTGGCGTGCTGGATATTTATGGGTGAGCATTTTGGCTTATTGGTCTGTCAGAGAGCATTTCTTTGTGGAGAGTATTTAGTCACTCTSAATTGGGAATTTAATTTTATCTCATACTGGTGAGGAGAGGAAAACCCTACCTATAGCAAGTCAGGAGTACCTTTATGATGGTGATATGCTGTGATTAAAATTTAACTAAAACAACAACAAAAATTTAGCTCKGCTCTAGAGCTAATTTAATAAAGTAATGGATGGAATAAATTGGTTTTCAGAGTCTCATGTGAGAAATTATCACTGAATTTTAAAAAATCTAATTTCACTCGCTTATTTGTTTTCTGTGGATACCCTTCCTTAACCATGTAAACCCATTTTGTACATTGTGCTTATTTTATACTTGATATTTCATTCTCTGGTTCAGTTTTTCAGAAGAACTTATAAGGTTCCCTTCTATGTATGTGTGACACTCTGAATCTATAAATTGATAGGAGCAATGACTTTATTATAATTCTGTTGTTCCTCTCAGGAGATGAATGAGCCTCAAAAACTCATAGTTTTGAACACCTTTTCATGCTGGGAACTCTAAATAAAATTCTCTGCCTCATAGCAGGTACTCATCTGTTGGGCACATTTTCCATATTTCTGACTTATAAACATTTATCTTAATTGCTGTGTAAAGAAAGTTGCACAGTGTTAGAGTACTTCCTATTTCTTTCTTCCTAATGAGTACATTTTGAATATTTTAAAACTATTCCTTTTCTCCCTTTCCTATTTTATTTTTGGTATTACAGATTCGAAACATTTGAGATAAATAGTTTTGAGCAGTTTTGTATAAATTATGCAAATGAAAAACTACAGCAGCAATTCAACATGGTAAGAATGTTCTTCTTTGAATAATAATTCTGCTATAAATTATCTCTTTAATTCTTGGTCTTTGTTTAAAGTCTGGCCCTTGAAATGAAGTCCTGAATTTTAWGTATTATATGAGTTTTAGAACAACTAAACAGCTAGAACTAATGATTAAAAAATGATGCTACATTTAGAAAAATATTTGGAAGTCAYCCATTGTCTGAGAATGATGAGAGTTTGGGGCAAATAAATTGAGTGAGAGAAGTAGGAGGGGTATTACCAACATAGGAAATATAAAGCTTTGAACCTAGGGATATCTTTCATTTTGTCATTCTGAAATTAATTGTATGTGGTGTTATGACAGCCTTAACTCTTACTTTCTATATTAGCAAGGAGTCAAAACTAAACATGAGAATTTCATGTATTCTTTTTTCAACAGTCTAAGCCATTCTCACTGAGACAATGGCAATGGGAATATTTTGAGAGTGACTCTTGTGAAGAAGTAATATCAAATATCCTAGAGGATTATCACAGTGGTGGGAGATCTGAAGGTACTTAAAAGTGAAGGGCAGCAGATTATATAATYGTGAAGGGCAGAGGCCTCAGAGGTGAACTGCTTGGGTTGGAATCCCATTCTGTCTTTATTGTCCATGGGACGTTGGGACCTCCCTGGACCTTAGCTTCCTCATCTGTAAGATAGAGATGAAAATAGTTCCCCCCACATATGGTTTTATGGATTAAATGAGTTGGGATGCATAAACTGCTCCTCACATGTCAAGCACAGTTCAAAGTACAAAATTAGGGGTAGTTATTAGTATTGATGAAAGAGGATGTTAAGAATGAGCCACTGAGTACTGGGAAATATGGCCCAGTGGGAGAGTATTTATTTAGCATGTGTGAGTTCAATCCCCAGCACGCATACACACACACACACACACACACAAAATTAAGAAAAAAAAAAAAGGAGGGAGGAGAAGGAAAAGAAAGGGGTGGACCACCGGTAGGAATTGGTTGATAGAAGAAAAGAGAGCTAAAGGATAGGAAAGGTTGCTTCATCTTATGAAAAGAGACGTCAAGTGGTACGAGTGATCTGTGGTCCATAGTTGATAAAAAAAAAATAAATAAAAGTTTAAGCAAATTATTTTAAGTTACAAAATTGACTAAAAAAAGAGAATCCAAAAATAGTAATATTGGGAGATAACAAAGGAGCAGCAGAGAGGGTGATGTATATGAACTTAGCTTCATCAGAAAGTTAACAGTTTCAAATTGATAAATCAGAAAGCAACTGATGCGTATATTCTTTAGAAATATGTAAGTAAACATCAGAAGAAATAGCTAAAAGAATTAAAAATTCTTGCCTGCTTTCTGTCTCTATTTACCACTTATTCCTCTTGATTTTCCCTCACACCTCCCCATTATGTTATATCTTAATTTTCTATGCATAATTGCTCCACTCCCTCTTACTATGAGATGGCTTATTCTCTCTTYTAGTTTGTATATATTATCTCCACCTCAACATTTCTTCTTCATTTACTTCAGACTTCCTATAGAGATAGCAGTGGTTGGAATGCTCTTCACATCTTCTTAACTTGCTCACTTCCCACTCATCTTGGATTCTTTCAGCTTCTGCTCCCACTGCTAATTGCCTAATTGTTTCTTTGTTTTCTAATTCAGATACCTGAGAAAGTGAACCAATTAGCCCCATTCATTTTTTTTCATCTGAGATGTCTAGCAATAAAGTGCCCTCATGTACCCATACTTGGTTTAGTGAGCTGTGACCAGAAACATGGGGTTTCACAGTAAAGGACTTAGCTGCATAGGGCTGCTCCCTGAGCTGAGGCCATGGATGTGGGCAGTTGGCATAAGAAATACTGTGGGAGCCAGGTGCAGTGGCACAGGCCTATAATCCCAGGGGCTCAGGAGGCTGAGGCAGAAGGATCTCAAGTTCAAAGCCAGCCTCAGCAATTTAGTGAGGCCTAAGCAACTCAGTAAGACCCTCTCTCTAAATAAAATACTAAAAAGGGCTGGGGATGTTGCTTAGTGGTTTAGTCCCTTAAAAAAAAAAAAAGGAAAGAAAGAAAGAAATGTTGTGGGCATATTTAGTGCTTAGAAGCATTCCTATATTGACAAGGATCTCTTGACATATTGAACCTCATGCCCACATTCCTTGATAATTGAGCACCCCAAATATTTGAGCCCCTCAGCTTTATGGAGTTTTCTAGAATAGATATAAAGATTTGTATGAGAGATAAGTTCTATTTAAAGCTTAGAGCAGTGCTTCTGATGTCAGCATGAAGACTACATATAAACTAATGAAAAACTTTAAAAGTTCATTGTTTTGGAAGATATTAGTGCTATAAATCAGGACACTGCTAACATATGGTGCCTTATTTATTTTCTCATTAATCAAAAGAACAGAATAAAATTGCTAATTAGCATAACAAATACTCTATGGATGACCTTTTTATGTTTTGTTTTAACTAAGGCTTCTTATAGCTGCTTAAAGTGCAAAGGACATTCCAATAAAAGTAAAATAAAATGGGAAAGTTCCAGGTGCATGGAATTATATATTAGAAATCTCTGTGTCACCTGTTTCGTAGGACTTGGTATCTTAGAAAATATGTGTTATGTGGTTATAGCCACAAAAAGATAATCTTCCTAGAAAAATAGCAAGATGTGTGAGAGAACCAAAGAAGATAAAAGAGACAAGTAAATAACAGCAGAAACTTGGAAGAACAGTTAATGGTCATTAGCATCCATAGAAACATAAAGTTGTATATCAGCTGCACGGTTAGAGTACATCCTGCCACAAACTGTGGCAGATTGCCCTTCCCATCTAGGGCAGCTCTGCTCCTCTTCACCTTCAAAGCTCAGAGCACAAGCCTTTCTTTAGGGAAACCTACCCTGATCATCCTGTAACCAAACTAGATGAGGATTCTTGCACTCATAGTTTATATTATTTTCCTTTTTAATATTATTCCTTGTGATTATTTGATTTCTGTGTTCATCTCCCACCAGTCTCCTGTTGTTGTCGATGTTGTTGACTATATGCTGTGACTGACACATAGTATGTAGTTAATATATATTTTTGATTAAACGAATGAACAGAGATCAGAAGCAATGGTGTGGGTTGTGGCTGAAGATTTTTAGCAGAAATAGCAATGGATTGGTAGTACTTGTGTAGCTGCTTGCAGTATTGGATAAAGAATTTAGAAAAGTGAGCCACTTATTCCCTGAAAGAGGAGAATAATCAAGGCAGACACACACAAAAAAACATACGTTAATCTAATTTTGAGGCATGTTGTACTTCAGCACCACAGTCCCTTAAGAAATTATTTTGTTGTGCTCAAAGCATTGCCCTGTACTGTTCAGTAGTCTAGAGGGCATTCACTCTGCATAGTTGTTCAATGCCACCTTAGACATTCCTGTGTCGTTAGCAGCCCTATATAATTGCTTAAGGAGCCAAAAGTAGAAAGTGCAATTTTAGAAATATACATAATAAAAAATCACAAAGACTGCTTACATTTATCAGCTACTTAAAACATTTACATGCCTAGATCTGCTTCTTCACTAAGGATCTGATGTAGCTGAGGTTTTGCTTTCTATGGTTTTAATTTACTATCTCTGTGTATAAATGGTGCTTCTCCCATAAGATTACTGTTGCTAGTAGCCACAAACTATCTCCAGTTTTCTTGGTATCCTCTTAGTATTTTATAGAAACATTGTTGTTCTTTTTTTTTTACTACATTCTTTATGATAACAATCCACAAATGACTGCATTTTTCTTTTTCATTTCAGCACGTTTTCAAATTGGAACAAGAGGAATACATGAAAGAACAAATTCCATGGACACTCATAGATTTTTATGATAATCAGCCTTGTATTAATCTTATAGAATCTAAACTGGGCATTCTAGATTTGCTGGATGAGGAATGCAAGGCGAGTATGATTTTGGGGGGGAATTTAGACTGTCAAATAGATGCATCAAGATCAGGAGGCAAGTAGGTTCAGGCAGACATTTATTAGTAACATGAAATGCCATTGTGGCAACAAGTGAGAGTCTTCATTCTAAAGGGACACTAGACCCCAAGGATTCTAGTTATAAATGAAACTTTTATTTTCAGCTAATTATAGGTTATGTAGAAAATTGGTAGATAATATTGCTACCAATTTTTGTTGCTTTTTTAAATCAATTTTCTTATATTTAGAACTCTGTTGGAGACAGAATGTATTTAAAGAAATGCAAGAAACAATAAGAGAGGTGAATAGAGAGCCTACATCCTGGGAACAAATTTTTACCCCTCACACTTCAGATAGAGCCCTAATATCCAGAATATACAAAGAACTCAAGAAATTAAACAATAAGATAACAAATAACCCAATCAACAAATGGGCCAAGGACCTGAACAGACACTTC